GTCCCTGCGGTGCGGCTGCACTGATTTTCCAACGTCCGCCACGGTACAGTAGTGGTGAGCTATGGGAATATTGGCAAAAGCATCGGAAGCAGACTAGATCCAACCACCACGCCACGGCCCACGCTTTCGACTTTTGAGGCGCAACCTCAATTACCTTACCGAATACCTTTCACAAGCAAACCACAAGGCTGAAGTTTCGTACGTTAGCCCCTTTCAGCGTACCCGTCTGTTTGCGCAAAAAGTGCAAAACCGCCCAATCCATCCCATTCGTCAGATTGCGCCGGACGACCTTACCTCGCCTTCCCTTCAGCCTTGCGCGCGCACGCGACAAGAGAGACTACGCGATCCCAACTTCACCCCGAAGCTTTCACGAACAATCCTTTCTTCAGAAAACGGCGATCAAGCAAATCAGCTCTGGCGAACACATCAACGAAATTCAAATCGAGACCGACACAGCTGTCACCATACCCCTCATCGTCAACTTCTTCACAACCCCACGAATAAAGCACAAGAAACCGCAAAAATGGTAGTCAACGAGCTGGTATCAGACAAGAAACTCGGCGCGGTCCTCCAGACCTCAGGCTACGCCCAAGACCAAGCCTCCAAGCTCCTCCACCTCCTCGCCGAAATCACCCGCACCGCCGAAGAGTCAGGCTCAACTTCGCCAGAGCTCCAAGCCGCCCTGTCAAAAGAACAAAAACTCCTCCTCACAAACATCTCGCACCTCCGCGGCTTGCACCGGTCCGCCAACTTTGACGCCAGGGACACAAAAGCCCAGACCGCCGAGGCGCGCCACGAGGTCGACCGCCTGCACCTCCAGCTGCAGAACCTCTACTACGAGCAGCGCCATCTCGAGGGCGAGATTGAGGCCTGCGAATCTTACGAGTAAGTGGGAGAGGGCTTTTTTTAATTTTTATTTTCTTTATCAATCTTCTGTCTTTTTCTCCTATATGGCGCGGCCGATGGAAGTTTCATCCATAGTTAACACCTTGTGACTTTCCAGCCACACCTACCAGAAGCTACCTCTCATCCCCGTCGAAGAATTCCTCGCCGAGCAACCAGAGCACGCCGACGCCGACGAGGACGCCTTGATGATTGCGCGCATCGGCCACGAGCGAGTGGGACGCGAAGCTCTCGAGCAGCAGAGGCTCGAGCTGGTGGGCAGGAAGCAGAAGCTCATTGCCGAGAACAAGAAGCGCAAGGACGATTTGGCCAACCTCGATAAAGACTTGGAGAAGTTCATCGATGTGAGTTCTACAATGCCTTCCTTCCGTTTGACGAAACTTGTCATGCGTATCGATTTTCTAACGTCCGTCGGTGTAGGCTGCGAAACCCATCCAGGAACTCTTCGAAAAGGTTGTCTGAAAGCGTTAGATTAGAACGTACTTACCCGTTGGACGAGCTCGATCTTTCGGCTGCTGCACGAAATGTCTCGCAGAAGATGCTTCGGTATCAATAGATCGTGTGCCTCACTGCTCTGCGAGAGCCTCTGACCCAGCCTCTTGGCTCGGCACTTCAGCTGGGGATGCCGCAGAAACAAGATGGCCCAGCGAGAATTCTGAATGCGAGCATCTGCGGGGGAATCATTCTGCTGGGTGTTGACATGCCCTAGTATCCTTCTCAAGGCTGCATTCGGAGTCTACGGATGAGGGCTTTTCTCGAAAGTCGCGAGCATGCCTACGAGGGTGGGGCTACGGAAGGACGGCATCTAAGCTCAAAGGTATATTGCGGTGACACGCACCCGCGGGCACCGTTGAAAATGTCAAGTTGGGCCTGGGTGGCTCTGTTGCTGACAGCGCAGCGTAATAGCGCGCTGCGCCTCCAAAGGGCTGCCGATGGGATTGCAAAGAGGGGTGAACATCACAGACGGAGTCGATAAAAGACCACAAGGCCGAGAAAAGGTTTGCCTCACACCTTCATAGCCCACCGAGAACCACGACGTCATCGCAGACGATTGGCGTCGTCAGCTCAATAATCAATACTCTACAGGTCAAAACATAATTCGTTCAAAGACAAGTGAGCCGTGTTTGACGTCGGTATGTGTGAAATGCTCTGGGGGTGGGTCGCCCCGGGAAAAGTCGAGGGGACGGCTGTTGAACGGGATGCTGTCGTCACCCGCGCCGGCTGCCAAGGAAAATCCGATTCGGCATAAGCCCGGACGGCCAGCGAAGCCCGCCCGGCCGAAGCACAAGTGACGCGTTGGCTGGGGAAGCAATGCACAGGGCAGCCGAAGGTCTCACCCCGGATCCGATGATGCGACATGTCAGTCCCGCAAGGTGACTGGTTGGTTGATCCGTCCGGCTGTCGGGGTCATCGGGGATGGAAGACTCTGGGCGGTGAGTTTTTTTTTTGTTCTTTGGCTTTCAACATCTGAGGCAAGTCGTTTCATGGGTGACTGGAATGATTGGCCAGAAACAGGTCGTGTTGGCAAAGGGAGGTTGCAAGTATGCCGTGAAGTCTTGGTCGTCGAAAATTGCCCTGACAGCGCGGATCGCATATTGCCTCATCTCTGTCATTCGCGACCGTATGCTTCGAGAAGCCTCGAGGAACATGAACGGCGAGTCGCTGCAGGAATCAAGTCCGGCATAATGGTCCCCTAACACCCCATCAACCGTTCTTGCTTTCTTGAGGCCACGCACGCTGTCTTGCAAGCTTCATCCTGTGCTGTGCAAGAGAAAGTATGCCCATCTCGACTGTCTCGCAGGGCTTGTTTCAAAGTTGTTTCCCGCATTGGAGCAGAACAGGACCCCGTCGGCCGACAAGACGGCCCCGGTGGTGAACGGGCAGATGCATACGCAGACGGATATGATGGGGCGAACTTCTGAATCGCAACATGTTGAGACATGCCACTTGTGACCGGACGAGTCTGAGTGCCACATTGGTCCATGGATTTGGTGTCTCAAGGGCAAACCGTCCGCTATGCGTGGGTTGGGTACTTTGCAGACGTAGGTTTCCGAGAGGAGCAATAATTGCACCAATTCGGTGTGAGGCTTGCGGGAGCCATCACACGCTGAGTTCTAGCTCATCATCAAGACATCGGATGCTTCAGCCGCACCGGACACGCATCGATGTCTCGACTCAAGCTGGGAGACGGGGGCTCTTGTGCCACGATGGATGTTCTCAACTTGAATTTCGACTCCTTTCTGCTTGTGGATTCAAGGCTCAGTGACCTCGCAAATCACACATAGTCGTTAATCCTGATGGGTGTCGGACTAAGCCAAGGCCTGCCAAGTGACCTTTGGGCGGCGACAGAGTCAAATCGTCGATTGGTGGATGCAAAGTGTGGTTCGTAACTACGTTCCCTTGATTGTCTCCGTTTCTCCAATACCTCCTCTTTTCCGATAATCTCGCCGTTGATATCTGCATCTGCTGATTATGCGGCATGCCACTGTTATGGCGATCCGCGAGTGCGGGTCGATGCAGGTTCCGCAATGGCAATAAGCTAGGTTGCGACCGGCGTTGATGGGGTTCAACGGCGAGTATCGAGGTGAGATGGTGTTGGAGGAGGCGCTCCGATTCCCCCAGGAAAGCCCGAAGACTGGGCTTAGAACCATATTGGTGGCCGTAGCCGGGCCATTTACCTCTTAACGCGGTCGGCTGGCTAGGAGACCTGGAACTCCATGTCTTGCCTTGCAAGGTACTGGTCCAGTCGGCCAGTCAGATTCGGAGCATCAGAAACGTTCAATCTCAAACGCCGGCCCGCCAAGTATTCGCCCACCCCACCATCCGGCAACCCCCCTATAGGTGCTCCTGGCACACGCAATACGCCTTCCTCGGTCGTCTCTTGTTGCTGACCTTCTTCATCATACGTATGGATCTCCAATGCTCATTGCTGACTCCCATGGTGGAGGTTCGCGGAATAGGTATACCCTCCCGGTGCTTGCGTCGGCCGCTGAATAGGTGGTCGAGTCTCTAGATGTCGCGAATGGAACGATTCTGCCAAGATCGGAGTTAAGCTGAGGGAGCAATTGCGCCCGACATGTGCGTGAATTACGAAGCAACCGATGGACATGGTCTCTCTCATCGTATTGTGACCAAAAGCTCATATCCGATAATCCTCGGATCAGCATGCTTGCCTTATTCATTACGGAAGAAGCAAGTTCTCGCTTGTGATTGTGTAATTGCGGAGTGCGGCTGGGGCAACTCTACCAGCGAACAATACAAGAAATAGCCTGAAGCGGACGAAGAGCCCGCGGTATCCTTTCTTTCAGACATATCGCGGCCTGTATTTGTCCGGGAGGAATAAGCACCGTCAGCTACCCGTACAAGGATGGCAGCCCATTCGACGCCACCCGCCTCCAAAGGTGAACCCTCTGCCAAAGTTGGTATTCTCGTGTTCTGTACGAACAAAGTATGCGAAGACTTGTCTGTGGCCTGCCCTACCTGCTATATGCATGTTGCGGGTTTAATCTCAAGTCTCTTTGCTATTTCATTGCCATTCCGTCTCAGGCGTCTGTAGAATGCACGAGACCAGCCAGGCCATGAATAGATGCCATTGATAGCACGAGCATATCAAGATGGCTTGGATGCGGTGAGCACGGGGCTGATGAAATGCGCTAGAAGCTAACGGCGTTGATTTGATGATGTTGATGCGGCTCGCGAGGCCACGCCGAACCTGCATTGACCAAGACCAACCGCCCGGTGTCTGAGCGTTGCTGAGACTGGACTGGCGAGATGGATTGTTGGTGATATGCACTTGTCGGGCACATGTCGATATCGGACAGTGTGACCAGGGCATCCAAGTCAACGGGATGCAGGTCGAAATTTCCCGCCCCGGCTGCCGTGACCCGTCACTGCTGAATCTTGACAGGCACGTTTGCAGTCTTGCAACCCTGGGGCCCTGGTAGAGACCTGGCCAGAGCACCTAGGCCTAATTTTCATCTGCTGATTTGGACTTCAAAATTTTTGATCTCCTTGGCCATTGCGACTCTGCAAAGGGGTCAGGCAGAGAGCAAGAGGAGCCGTAGAGGCTAGGTGAAGAAGAAAATTGGAGAACGGCCATGTCTCAGCATCCCATCATTTCGCAGCAACGGTATCCCAGCACGCCACGAGATCCCACATCGGCTCTCCAGTCCGACGGTGAGTAAGCAGGAAGGCCGCACTGTGACTGGATTGGACTGACTGGACAGCGTCAGATTCAGCGCAGGATGACACCAAGTGTAAGTTTGGCGATGGTGGGACGACTAAGAATATCGTTCGCGGGGCCTCGACCGCAGGCTAGTCTACCAGAGTGTAATCATCGATGCGAACCCTGGAAGGCGAAAAGCGTGCGACAGGTCTGGTCGAAAAATGCATGCCATGAGATGACATTTGGCAGGCATGCTGCCTTGCCGTCCCGTTGCCAATGCCGTGGCCAATTTCGCCTGTGTAGGCGCGTTTCGCTGGTCATCGTTATCGTTCGTCGTCTAGCTACCCATGACCTCGTTTCTCTAGGGTCGCATCTTCTCGCCCTATGACGACGATGCCGCAGCAAAGCCGTGATGGATGACGACGGCAGCCACAGCTGCCACGCTGGAAGGGACCCCCTCCTTCGACCCGCCGCCTGTCGACAGCTCAAGCTGCAGCGCCGCTTGTAAGAGCTGGGGTTGGGGAAGCACCCCCGAACGAACCAATGGCCACTACGAGACTGCGAGACTGCAGCTCATTAGACGGTGTCGCGACGTGTAAAAAGGTGTGCGCGCTCTTAGACTGAGCCACGATTTGCTCCGCTTAGCGTGCCTACGTACCACTTTGCATGTGGTCCCGGCAGCTAGAAGCGTCCTGCAGCGCCGCAGTGGTAGGTAAATCTCCCAGACCTGAAGCATCGTCTGTGAGACTGCGATAGCGTGGTACCGCCAGCAGCATCTGCCCGCCGTGTTTCGATTCGTCCTCGCACGCAAGCATAGTATAGATCCAGCGGCGGCGGCGGTGGCCCTGGATACCGTCTTTGTCCCGTGGAACTGTGGCACAAGAGGCGGCATCAATGGCGCATGGCTGCTCATCCTCGCTGGCCTGGCAAACGCGGATAGTGGCAGTGTTGACTGCTCCCAAGAATACTCGACATGTTTCCTTGGCCGGATGGTCAACGCACGGTCGAATCGTAGGAACGATAGGCGTTGTTGTTGGTTAAATCGAGAAAGGACTAGTGGTGTCGAGCTTTGGGTGTTTAATGATATTATCGACTATCTTGAGCTCCCGGGTAGCTTGGGTCGTATTGGTCTTGAGCTTGTGATGTGAACCCAAGTGCTCGAGAGCATAGTCGTGGCTTGGTCGTCATTGTGTGCTTTTCACAGCTGGCAGTTGATAAGAACTTGATGCCGTGGGTACAGATACAGCCGTCGTGTCGCACATGTATGATACATGTCCAACTACCTGGCTGGTGGCTGCAAATTGACGGGAACAATCCTCGGACGAAGTTGACTTGTTGATTTGACAAAGTGGGCAAGCTAGGACAAAGATCAAGGCACGTCATTAGAAATCGATGGAGTCGAAGCAGCCGAGGTGCAATCATCAAAAAGAAAAGCAGCCAGCGGAAGCTGCCTCACTTATTATCTGCCTCAGGTATTATCATTCAGACCGGGCCTGCTTGAGGTAAGGTAAGGCGCCTTAGCCTCTACCCTATGACACCTTATCGACTAAGCAGGCGCCTTACGACTGCAAGGAAGGAAGAAGGTGTGCGAACTTACCTACCTTTCAAAACTGCCAACTTGAACAATAAGGTAAAGAAAGCCCCACGTTCGGTGGTGAGGTTAAGCTTCGACTGCTTACTACACAGTAATCTGAATCCGTACTCCGTACACCGCCCCCTGAGCGACTTTCCACTAAGGATGGCTAAGCTTCACAACCTGGCACAAAAGGAATCCTCCTCCACGAGTCCACAGAAGCCTAAGTATTCGTACACAACACGGAGTACTTGCTTGTCGATTGCATTGTCGATTATTCCCGGCCGGATTCTACGCCTTTTCCATCCTGAGCATCCACCAGAGCCACCACCGAGACTGGCCTGGATGAGAATGCAGAAACAATTATGGGCTGTTGAGCTCTGGACCTCCTTTGTTTGCATGTTTTTGCAGGGCTTGAATGGAATGGGGATTCAGGAGGTCCGGGTCCGGCTCCAGTCTCCATTGTTGATGAGTTATTACTCCTGCCGCCTGCGTGCCGTGGTGCCCTCCAGCTCTGTCATCGCGGGAGCGCCGTACTATGTCCGCGGGATCCAGCGTCGAGTTGCCTTGCACTTTGTATCCGTACGGAGTATCCATCCGCAGTATTGTTGGCTGTATGTACGCAGTACGTACCTGTCACAGGCTCACGGGTCCCCTGCCTGCCGCACGCTTGCTCGGTGAGGTGGAGAGCTGGCGGTAAGAAAGCAGCACAAGGTGGACCTTTCACTGCACTGTGACGCCCCCGGATCGAGCACTTGAAAATTGTTAGTGGGGAGGTACTTTCCAAATATCCCGTTTGGGCGAGCCAGCCCGTCAGAGCGGGAGGAGCGACCCCACGGCACCTTAGCGTCTCTAGCGTCCTTAGCGTGGAAAAAGGCACAGGCAGCAGGCAGTCTTTGGCCTATGAACTTGGCATCGCTGCATGAAGAGCGCATACTGTGCGGGGATCCTGTGAAATTACGTCCCAGTCATCGTAAAAGGTGCGACTGTTGGCTCTTGCTAATTTTTCTCTCTCAGGAAGCTATGTGATGATGCTCAGAATGGTCTAGAGAGTAAAAACTCTCAGGGAGGTACTTATCACCTTATCTGTACCAAAGACCGTGGTCTGAGAGAACTCTCGGCATTGAGGCTGGAGCCAAGAGGAATATAACATCAACCAAGGCTGAAGCATCAAATGTATAAGCAAGAGATGACACAGGATAAAGAAGGTTCGAATCGAGCTTGAGTGAAGCCACTCGCCAAGTGCGGCTGTGCAGTGCCCGACAAGCTCCTGTCTAGCATTACCGGCTCGCACTCGATCATGACGCAGCGTCGCACATGATTACACTTTCATCATCACAACAAGCTGCCCGGCTCAGTCAATCTATCTGAAGGGGTTCCCACGCTCTGCAATTCGACTGCCTACACTAGAGTCTAGAATGAGTTGTTGACGAATATTGGCTCCGCTCATGCTTGGAATATTGGCCAAGCCTCGCAGAGTATGAGACTTCCTTGGCTCAAGTTACTATAACGTGACAAGCAAATGGCATGGCATGGCAGTGCTTTCCTTTCAATCGTTATCGCTATCGACACGAGAGGCTGTCATAAAGCGAAACCAACGAACGCTACTGTACTCCGCTGGCTAACTCCGTAGTTCGATGTCGATTGGTCATCATCAACACGACGAAAGGAAAGAAAAAAGAGAGCAAAAAAGACAGACTCACCTATACATCCCGGCCGTACACAGTGCTCGCGATTGACCGCTTACTCGGTAATTTCTTCCTTCTCATTTCCCGCGGGGCGATTCAGTACAAGCGCAGAAAATTCCCAAGGCAACCAGACCTTGTCTGTGTATCCGTGCCACCCCTGCGAGCTCTCATGGGCCCACGTCCCTTTTCGCGCTAAAGCAATTATCGAGGCAGAGGATGGGAGTGAGGCAGGCGCAGAGGCAGCCCACTAGATGCGATGCGAGCGGGCGAGATGCGCTAGCCTCAGCACGGCATACCCCAAGGTCCCTGCCGCTTGGGCCAATCAGAGACGATCCGTCTTTCTCTTGAGCCAATCACGATCCATAAAGTAGTCCTGGATTGGTCTAGTCTGGCTTCTGGCACACTGGAACCATCTCGACCCTCGCTCTGTTTCTTGCTTCTTTCTCGTTTTTCTTTCATTGCTCTCTGCGACCTGCGGCCTGCCTCGCCTCTTCACCACCTCAATCTGCTGCAGTTCTCCGGATCAAGGTGCCTTAGTAACCCCCCGGTCTGTTACGGCTGCCATCACCGGTGCTAGGAGACCCCCAGCTCGTCGTCTCGCCAATCCAGAGGCTTCCACTACCCCCATTGTGCAGTCCAATGCTCCAGTTCAACGATTTTGCAAGCTGCACGTCTTCCCTCCTCATCTTGCAGGCGGCGAGCACCTCCTTTATACCTCCCTTCCATAGTATGCCTCAGCAGATAGTGCAAATAGTTGTCCGTGACGGTAGAACTCCAGCGTCGCCGTATCGGAGCCGTCTTCATACTCGGGTCCTGTTGGTTGTTTTGGTGAGAATGAAAATAAAACAGACAAAGTTTGGCGGCAGAGAGAATATTGGTATCCGTACATCTGGGAGCGGGTCCTCCACACCCAAGTCAGGCTGTGGCGCTGGGCCGACACAAGTACTCTGTACAAATGACCCTTTTCCCTCCCCACGTCCCATCTGGAACCAGTCTGGTCTGGTCCAACGCAAACAAGCTCTGAGGTGCGCGTATGAAAGGGAAAGAGGGCTGGTACGAATACTCCGTACGGGTACCTAGAGAGGTGAGAGTCCAGAGCAAGGCGCGCCGCACCTCACCTCAGAGAAATCAGCGCGCCCCCTTTCTCTGCCGCCCCCCCTCGACTACCGTCTACGCAGTATGGTCTACCTCACTGCGTACCAGGCCTGCCTTACAATATTACCTGTCTGTAGTGTACCACCCGCGGAACACTGAGGTGGACTGGACTGGACCTTGAGGTACCGCACCTTACCTTAGCTTAGCAGACCCGACCCGACCTTACTGTACCCGTGTCCACCTACCTACTACCTCCTGGCTCCTGCTCCTCCTTCATGCCCAGGTCCCTATCCAAGAAATCATCCACTCTCACTACCTTGCACTTCTTCCCTCCTTCTCTCTTCCTCAGTCTGTCCCCGTATCCATTAGTCGCTATTCTCCTCGTGAATATCATCCGACAAGACGCACTCTAATTCTTCCCAGTCTCTCCCTTTTTCACTTCTTCTCTCCCCCCTCCCCCCCTTCCTCCTGTCTGTCACCTGCTTTCCTCCTCACCCACACTCAACCCTCTTCAAGAGACAGAGTGAGAGAGCGCGAGAGACCACCATCGACCTCGACCGGTAGGGCTCCAATTCTACGCGTGCCCTTCGCAATTTCGGCCCAGAGGTTTCCTGATTCTCCTCTTCCGCCCTACTTCCCTCTCCATTCCTCTCTCCCTCTCCCACTTGCTGTCTACAGTCGCTGGTCTCGCTCTCCCTCGAGCAAACTTCCACCCCCCAGTCAGGCTTCGCACATTTCTCCAAGCCTCTTATCGGCTGCTTGCCTCGACAGACAGACAACCTCGCCTTCCGTCGTCGACCTTCCTGAGCTGTCGGCTTATCGTCGATCTTTCCATCGCTGGCAACGCGCCTCACCGAAGCAACATCCTCGGTCGTCACCATGTCATCGATTTTGGCCTGGGCCTCGCGCCGCGTCGGCGGCTTGGCCATGCTGGGCTTGTTGGGTTTGAGTTACTGGGTTATCTCAAAGGAATCAGCTGCTTCTGCACACAACTATTTGCACGAGGATAGCCTTAGCTCTTCGACTTCGACTACCAAAGGCGCTGGCATTTGGACCGAAATCTACGCCTACTACTGCTTGTTTATCCACATCCTCGTCTTCGCTTTCCCTCTCCGATGCTGCTGGGCTGTCTTTGACATGACCCGCCAGCTGAAGAAGATCGCTCGCAACAGGACCCTCAGAGACTATAGACTCTCCCACCGCCGCCGTGGTTCCTCGACCTCCTTATCCAGCTCGGAGACCCTCACGTCCTCCCACGGTGGTTCTGCGTCTAGCAGTGAAGCTGGCGACATGGAGCCCGAACTATACACCGATGGTGATGCTGAACCCGACCGCGTCATCCACGCTATTATCGTTCCCAACTACAAGGAGGAGATGGATACCCTGAAGGAGACTCTCGAGGTGCTGGCTTCGCACCCCCAAGCTCGCAGCTGCTACGATGTGAGTACATTTGGACCCTCCCCCCCCTTGTCACACAATTGCCCTGGTAGTAAATGACCACCGATCTGGCGAATGCTGTCGTTCTTGATTGAGACGCGTACAAAAACTGACACTTGCATGCTAGGTCTACTTGGGAATGGAACAACGCGAGCCCAATGTCGAGCTCAAGGCCATGACCCTCATTCAGGAGTTCGTCAAGAAGTTCCGCAGCATCGACTACACCATCCATCCGTCCGACATCCCAGGTGAATCCGCTGGCAAGGGAAGTAACGTGGCATGGGCTGCCCGCAAATTGAGCCAAAAATATTCAATGACCACCCGCAAGGATGTGATCATTACGGGTCTTGACGGTACGTGCGCATGCCAGATTCTGAGAATCTGCCGCAGTCAATGTTTCCAATTTTTGCGCATGTAGGATGATTCGCTGACAGAAACGTGGGGTGTACAGCCGACAGCCACCTCTCATCCAACTTCTTCGCTTTACTGACTACCATGCACCTGGCCTATCCCGAAACAGCAAAGACCACCATGTACGCGGCTCCAATCATCTTCGACCGCAACGCCCACAGTGTTCCCGCCATTGTCCGTGTCGCCGACATCCTTTGGGGTGCTGGTGGTATGTCGGGACTGTACTCCGGATCTACAATCGCGCCTCCCACCTCCGTCTACTCCGTGCCCTTGGAACTTGTTGACCGCGTCGGCGGCTGGGACTGCGATAACGAGGCTATTGGAGAAGATTTGCACATGTACCTCAAGTGCTTCTTCGCGCTGAACGGCAACTTGACCGTCAGGACTGTCGTCAGCCCCGTCAGTCAGAGCAACGTCTGTGGCGATGGCTCCAAGGGTCTCCGCGGTATCTACTCGGACATGCAGGCTCGTTACAAGCAGGCAATGAGACATATGTGGGGTGCTCTCGATTCCGGATATGCGCTCCGAAAGGTTGTCGAACTCTGGCAGGAAAGGAAGCACACCTCTCGCGCTTTCCGTCCGCTTCACAACTCCATGGGCGACGCCTCTGACGTCTACGTCCCCGAGACGCAGCTGGACCAACAGGATCCCGAACAGCCCAGAGAGAGCGGTGTTTTCTCCGACGTCACCCACGATACACTGCAGTCTCCCAACTGGGAACGCATCGTCTACCTGTTCCACCGTCTCTTCGAGGCGCACTTCCTTCCCCTTCAGATGACCATTTTCGTAATTTCCTCTACTCTTTACGTGTGGGTCACGGAGGGCAACAAGGAAGTTGCTCACCTCAGCTGGATCTTCGACGTTTGCAACATTCTGCGCACTTTCGGTTTCATGGAAATTGCGCTCTACCTCTTCTTGTATGAGAGCTTCCACCGCATCTGCGTCAAGTCCCGTCAACGTGAGATGACCGAGGCTGGTCTGTCTGAAGGCATGAACTTCTCTTACCGCAACGTCAAGAAGAACTTCATTGACTACGCAATGGTTCCGCTCGTCGCCCCTCTCTACGGTGCCATTCCTTGCGCCCAGGCACAGTTGTGCCATTTCTGGACGCTAGACTTGGTCTACTCCGTCAGCAAAAAGGTTACCCGGCAAAGAGCGAAATCCCTCACGGCAGCCGAAATCGCGTAACGACAATTATTTTCTTCTGTGTTAACTTTTATCTACTCTTCGACAGGACCTCGCCCTCCCCGTGGAGGCGTCGATGGCTCACATTATTTTTTTTCTTCAATTCGACGCACAGCCCAATTCCAGGAAGACCCACCAAGCGGCGGTTTTTAACTCGATTACGTGTTTGAAGAAGTTGGGGCTCCCAAGAGCCTCACGTGTAAATAGATGAGGGCATTCTTGATATGCATGGCATGGCATGGTATCGGCATTCTAGAGATTTCGGGGATTTATGGGGCCTCAAACCGGAGTTCTCGGAGCAATACGCAGGAACTTGACGAGCGAGAGAGCCGTCCAAGTGCATTCGCTTATACGGAAGACGAAGTGGAAACGATGGGGTCGGACATATCCAGGCCAGCATGACGAGGCTCACCCACCAGCGGCAGGAAGATGCCGGGATGGTGACGAAAGATGACTGCGTCCGCTGGGGACGGGACAAGCCCAGCAGGAACAGCTGACAATGGGCTCCAAAAGAGCAAGACGGGAGGCCGACACAACAGAATCCCGGAGCCCATTAATTTGGACGAGTCCTATAATATTTAATCTTGTGTGTACATAGAACGATTCATGATCATGGCAATTGACGCTAAGACGTGGGTTGGACGGCGTGGTTAACAGGAAGAACGTTGCCACGATAAAATTGATGTGAATTATACATTGTTTGCGACCCATTCTCGGTGACTTATCATGGGTTCCTTGTGGTTATGAGTTGATCATGGCGAGTATGGTAGACATGAACATGAAGCACCCTCACGCATCTTTAGAGGAAACCTCCCGGACAAAGCTCCCTCGTTAATAGATGCAAGAGGATTGATCATCATGGAGGAGAGAATTCTGAACGAACGTAGCCAACCTGGAAGGACGGGAAGCCGTTCCAATCAGCTTACAATGGTCGGTCATCCTTTAGACGGACCAGCACCGCTGAGGACGAGCCGCTAGAACCCCGAAGCCTCTCGGAAGTTAAGAGATGACACCCAATCAGCTCCCATGAATGTCAGCCACCGGATGCCCAGTGTCTTTCTGCTTGGTTTTTGTGTACGGAACATTTTGGCTATACCGATAGGTTTTCGGACCGCGATGTGAAGGACGGCAGCCCTCGGAGGACGGACGGTCGATAGGCTGTTTGGCTTCAGTATAAAGCTGGATGGGGTTTGGTACCTTGACGATGATACCGAGACAGCCATGCCAGGACGCATTAAACATATTGTTGAAATCCAGTGCCCCATCCAGGGATTGCTTCAATCCACCTTGTAGCATTTCACGACAAAACTCACAGAAGAAGAAAAAAAAACACAAAATGGCAAACACCAGTACCGAAATGGTCAAGATTGGGGTCTTTATGCCGTCCGAGTGTCAGCTCCTCGACATGGCCTGCGTAGACGTCCTGTTTATGATGTCGAGAGAGTACCTGGGCGGTCTGCCCATGATACCCAAACACATCCCGAACTTGGCGCCAAGCGTGGAAATCTACTACATTTCTGCAAAGACCAGCCCCAGCTCTAGCTCTAGCTGTAGCTCGAACTCGACCCCGGAGGCAGCAGAACACCTTGTTCCTCCTCAGCTCCCCTTGACGGCGGGCGTCAAGATCCGGCCGACGCACGACGTCTCCAGCCCGGAGGTCCAGCCGGGCATGCTGGATATCCTGCTCGTCCCCGGACCGGATCCGGCGGCGAGCTGGGATGAGGAGACCTTGGCGTTTTTGAGGGGACATGCTGATGAGGAGGAGGGGGAGGGAGGAAAAGGAAAGAGGACGGACGTGCTGAGTGTCTGTACGGGCGCCTTCTTGTGTGGTGCCGCGGGGATTTTGGAGGGGAGGAAGGTATGCGGACCGAGGGGTCTGCAGGATGTTTTGAAGAAGAGGTTTCCGGATGCGAGGTTTGTGGGGGATGAGTTTCGATGGTGTCGGGATGGTAATCTTTGGAGCTGTGGTATGTTTTTCTTCTCTTCTCTTTCTGCTCTTTATGTCTGTTTTACTAAATTATGGTTGCATATTCACAGGTGGCATCACGAATGGGAACGACCTGGTGGCGGCGTACGCTCGGAGCAGCGAGAGGCGCCTCTTTCCGGGGCCGATTGTCGAGATTGCGTGTAAGATGGCGGAGGTTGGTGAGAGGGGCCAGATGTATGAGCAGGGGCAGACGAGGTTTGCTTTGGGGTTTGTATGGCAGCTTGTCAAGGCTTGGTTTGTGAAGTCGAGGTAGGTAGTCGAAGATGACGAATGATGAATATCAGAAAAAGAGAGAGGTTTGGGAGACGGACGAGGAACTTGCAGTTCCCAAGGTAGAATTTGTGTACCTACGTTAATGATAGAGGCTGTTCTGTCTACAGGACATGCAGGAGAGATACCGTCCATCTATGTCCGTCTAATGACGAGATCTCGAAATCGTCTAACTTATGGATTGAATACCCCTTGACCAACTTGTGGTCATGATCTCATTAGAACAAGCACACAGTGATTCTTGATAGCGCAACAAAGGTAGCTCGAAGGCACCTTGAAGGCAGCACAGACTTTGTCAACAGCATCAGCACCGAGTGAGCCCAGGCAGAAAGCGGTGTACGAGTGGAGGGTCCTCACCGTCCACAAAAGCGCCGGTGAAGACGTCGTTTTGGGCATTTTTGGGGCATTTTTGGGCAAGGGTCCAATGCAGCTCCTTCCCCAGACGCACCTTCCCTGCCGTTGCGCCTTGGTTGCCATGGTGTGATAAGGCCGATAAGACAGGATAAGGCAGCACTAGCGCCGCCAGCGGTGGGGTCGAGACCAAGAAAAAAAAAAGAAAAGAAAAAAAAAGTTCCGTCTGGTCTGGTCGTCGAGTGGAAAAAAATTTCAGGCAAAAGTTCTTCGAGAACCTCGACTTTTCTGTACAACCTCCCTCTCACACTCGAATCCCACCCCATCTTCTTCCTCTCCCTAGTCTTTCCATACCCCCAAATAATCCCTTCAAGAACGAACGGTCTTTGTTTTTCGACCTCCTTGGAGAGCAATCATCAAGTGCAAGAGCACCAACTTTTACTAGTCTCATTCACATACCATCTTCACAATCAGCACAATGGCCCAGCTTCCTGTCGCTCTCTACGGGCTCGAGGTCCCCGCAGGCGAAATCCTCATTCCCGCCAACCCCGACTTCCCTGCCACTGTATGTGCATCTCTCTGCCCTGTTTCTTTGCCTGTAGGCACTTGAGCGGAGGCTCCGGCCAGGTCGCAACTTGCGCTGGGCGCCGGCGCACTCCTGCTTATTCACAGTTAACTAACCTTGGGATTGACCAGTTCCGCATCACCATGGCCGCCATTGATCCCTCTGAGGCTCCCGAGGCCGATGCTGATGGCAACATTCCTGCTGTCCCCCGCTCCACCCTTCGCCTCGTCAAGCAGCGCTTCGGTGACGACCTCGAGGCCGGCGAGGATGACGAGATCGATGAGGACTACCTTCAGTCTCTCATTGACGCCAACGGCGATGACGACGAGTCGTCCGATGACGATGATGAGCCCAACGGAGGTCCCAGCGACCCCTCCAAGTCCAAGAAGCAGAAGCAGGCTGAGGCCCTTAAGAAGCTGATCGAGGCCGTCGACGAGGAGGAGTCTGACGAGGAGATGGACGATGCCAAGCCCAACGGAAAGTCTAGCAAGAAGGGCAAGGGCAAGGCCTCTGATGATGAGGAGGATGACGAGGAGAGCGATGACGACGAGGAGGGCCTTGACCTTGAGAACTTTGTCATCTGCACTCTCGACACCGAGCGCGTAAGTTGCGAATAGACCGTGCGAGTCTAGAGGGAAAAATATTGATTGCTAATAACCGCGCAGAACTACCAGCAGCCCCTTGACATCACCGTCCAGGAGGGTGAGAAGGTTTTCTTCGTCGTTTCTGGTACCCACACCGTCCACCTCACCGGTAACTACGTTATCGACGATGAGGAGGAGGAGGGATCCGACGAGGATGAGGACGACGACGAGTACGACCTGTCCCCTGATGAGCTCGAGTACGGCATGCCCGATGAGGACAGCGACGACCTTGACGACACCGAGGACCCGCGCGTCATGGAAGTCGATACCGACGAGGAGGAGGCCCCCAAGCTGGTCGAGACTGGCAAGAAGGGCAAGAAGCGCGCTGCCGAGAGCCTCGACGACCTGATCAAGGCCGACGACGAGACCAAGACCTCCAAGAAGGACAAGAAGAAGCTCAAGAACAACAAGGGTGAGGCCGTCGCCGCCGAGGAGAAGACTACCCCCAAGTCCGACAAGAAGGTTCAGTTCGCCAAGAACCTCGAGCAGGGCCCTACCGGCTCCGCTGAGAAGGCCAAGCAGGCTGGCAAGCCCGCGGGTGGCGTCAAGGTCGTTCAGGGAGTCACCATTGACGACCGCAAGCCTGGTACTGGCCGCGCTGTCAAGAACGGTGACAGTGTCAGCGTCCGCTACATTGGCAAGCTCGACGACGGCAAGGTCTTCGATGGTAAGCGCCGAATTCGAATGTTTCTTTCTTCTAGATGTCTCGCTAACTCATATTTCTAGCCAACAAGAAGGGCAAGCCTTTCACCTTCAAGGCTGGCAAGGGCCAGGTCATCAAGGGCTGGGACATTGGTGTCATCGGCATGGCCATCGGTGGTGAGCGTCGTCTTACCATCCCCGCCAACCTCGCCTACGGCAACAAGAGCCTGCCCGGCATTCCTGCCAAGAGCACCCTGACCTTCGACGTTAAGCTCCTTGAGATCAAGTAAACAGGTCGCTTCCTCACTAGCAAGACCCCCTTTTGGCGGCGAGACGCCGATTCAGGATGCTCCTCACTGTATTCTACCCTATTTTGCCCGGCGAGCACGCCATGGAAAGATGGCGAGCCCCTGCTGGGCCCTGGCGTTCCAGACGCCGACCTTCCCTCGTAATGATGTGTGACGGCGATGGGATTCGCTGAGTCGCGATATATGCGCTGTTGCCGCAATGGATAGTCTCCGACCTGTGGCTATCTGCGAAGATTCGCAGTCCCCTCGTGGGGTGCGAGAAGCAGAATGTGTTTGATGGGATGACGAGGCGAGGACTTACACTGCATTAGTTGGCGTATCACAAAAAGAGTTTTCTGTTGATTAGGAAATTTCTCTCACCGGACATGGATGGTTTTCTTCCGGTCGGTCTGTACTTAGCTCCGGTTTCCTTTTATGAAAATCAAAGTCTCCTTACTTCTTACCTTGAATGTCCCGGCGAGCCTTCCTCCTCGGCAACCGATCGTGCCTAGAAACTTGTTATGACGTCCTGAGATGCTGAGGCAAGCTCAATTTACAGCGTACTTACCTGCCTCCTCGCCGGTGACTGTCCTGAATGAAGCTCACTTGCCCATTGTCGATCAATTGAAACGGCCAAGGTGGTCCAGCTGCTTTTGGCAAGTCCCTCCTCAATGCAACCGTTGGCCGAGGACAACGATCCATATCCTCGTTCCTAATCTGCCTACATCTTCTTAGACGACATGCCACCAGGCCAAACACCATCACAGCCGGACTGCTCGTCCGCCTCTCTTTTGGACCCCGCATTTATCACAAGTCGTTATGCCAGCAGGTCTCATTACCTCTTCAATTGATTTCTCCATCACCAGTAAACATCATGCATCAACAAGTTCTCCGCAGCAGCATCGTCGCACATTCAAATGCGACCCTCACGGCAACAGCCATAGACCCCAACCACACACTCCCAACAGACCTCAGTCCAGAAGTCGACGGCCAGGCACAGCACACTCTTTGGAATCCCCGTCCTCATCTTCAGGCGACCCCACTAACCCATTTGTTCAAGGGAAGATACCGCCATCATCAACGTGGGTAGAGGCTGACTAAAAGGCCAACCATCACCAGCTAACACACAAAGCAGACCTACAGTCCTCGGGCAGTGCTAGGTCCACCAGAACCAGGAACTTCATTCACAGGTTCATGGACATAAGGGGGAAGCCCACTCACAAGGCAATACAGTCCCGCCCTCTGCGATACCCAACTGCCCAGCCCGTCACAAACCACCCTCTTGAGCCAGCCGCCCCAAATCCGCCACCTGACTTGGAACTTGAGCTTTCTTCGGCGCCCCAGTACACACCCTGGGGACGACTAGATTGGAACCAACTCTCTGATAAACAAAGGGTCCACACGGTCGAAAAGGCAGCAGCAGCCAGAATCTACCTGGAGACCTACTTCGAGGATGCTTTGAGTAGTCGTCCCACACCACGTGAACAGCGTATCGCCGAGCACCAACGAAATCTGGATCAGTATGGAGGTCACCTCGGCCCCAGTGAGAGAGACTATTACTGGAGGCTCTTCTTTGCAATGGAGACCAATTTCCTCCGCGAGCAAAGAAACGCCAAAACTCACAGCTGCAGAGTTGCATAGTCAACAACGTCTAGCGCTGAAATGAGGCGAGGATCGGACTTGGAAAACCTCGAGACCCTGCAGATCCTCGGAAAAGGGAGCTTCGGAGTTGTCAAGCTTGTATGGGACCGATGCCGACGACAGGTATTTGCTATGAAGGTCATTCGAAAGTCTGACATGATTCGAAGCTGCCAAGAAGGGCACTTGCGAGCGGAAAGAGACTTCTTGGCGGCCTCTGAGAATTCAGAATGGTGAGCAAAGTCCTCTCGATGTGCTGGGCAACTCTGTTCTTCCATGCTAACTGGGGCTAGGGTGGTGCCCCTGATATCCAGTTTTCAGGATCCAGTGAATCTTTACCTCCTAATGGACTACATGCCGGGGGGAGACTTTCTTGGTCTTCTGATTCGCGAAAACATCTTGACCGAGTCCAGAACTCGATTCTACATCGCCGAGATGATACTTTGCGTCGAAGAGGCCCATAGACTTGGATGCATCCACCGAGATGTCAAACCAGACAATTTCCTCATCGGTGCCGACGGTCACCTGAAAATCTCGGATTTCGGGCTGGCTTTTGACGACCATTGGTCCCATGACACCTCCTACTACAAGTGGCAGCGACAGTCAATTCTGGCCCTGACAGGTGTTACGCTAGACGGTGATGGCGAGGATCAAAAAGCCGCCCGCGATGGTAGACGGGCGAGGCGACGATCATCTCGGGAAGGGTCATCCAAGCACTATCCCCCGTCAGAATTGCTCCGAACCAAGTTTGATGGGCTTGAATGTCCGTTCAATGTCGTCGAAACAAACGCAGACGAGATTGTAAAAGTCGACCAGCTGCTTGGTTGGCGAACAGCAGAGACACGCCGATCCTCGGCCCGCTCCATTGTTGGCACAAGCCAGTATATGGCTCCAGAGGTGGTCATGGGAGAGAAGTATGATGGTAGATGCGACTAGTGGAGTATCGGAATCATCCTTTACGAGTGCCTATATGGGCACACGCCGTTTCTCTCGGAGAAGGGTCGTCACTATACCAAGCAGAACATCCTCGTAAGTTTGGACAGAACTTCCCATTGTAGATTTCTCTGATTTTGAGAGCAGGAATATCGGAAAAGCTTGGTGTTTCCTATTGACGGACCTCCAGTCTCGAGAGTATGCCGGCAATTGATCAACGATCTGCTTCAGGACAAAGACAGCCGTCTCTCATCACCCGAGTATCGCAACCAAGATGCTCGACGAAGTTGGGAGAAGCTTCAGGGCTACGAGAAAATACCGAGTCAATACGTTTTCAATAACGACGCATCCGAGATCAAGGCCCACCCGTGGTTTCGGGGCGTTCCTTGGGAAGCAATACGCTCCAGTCGGCCAGAGTGGATACCACATATTCAAAGCTACGCCGACTCTCACTACTTTGAAGAAGATGAGCCGATCAGCGACTGGTCTGACTCAATGGATTCCGAGATAGCGGAGGGGTCGGAGAACCTGGACGATCTCCGTCTAAGGTTTCTACAGTACGACTTTGAAGACGATGTGAGGTGTCTGGCCACTGAGTTCATCTCCAAACCCTACGATTCATCCAAGTTGAAACGATTCGATCGCGATATTGACGATCATGCCTTTCTGGAAGATGTTGAAAAGGCCTTTCTCAAATGGTACGTCAGAAGAGTCGGACGAAAAGAATGCAAGCGCCCAAGAGACAAGTTACTGCGGGACCGTTGGGTCAAGGAGGAAGTTCTTCAGATGAGGAAGCGAACAGCTTTTCTAGGTTATTCGTGGCGACGCAAAGACATGGCCAGTCGCAGGCCTGTTGGAACAGTCTACCCTACAAATTCTTGATCAAGGGGAGGAATGCGTTGTCAGTCGAGGCGACGTTGGGCAGAGGGGCAAGATTGAAGCAGCTACTGATGGAAGTATGGGCTGGTCACACGTACAAGGTGTGTTACGCCATTATGAGAAGGAAAGAGCAACGCCAAGTATGAATAGACATTATTCTTCATTACATATCAGCCTCTCCTCTGGCGCGTGTAACATGCTGTGGAGGCACCGTCAACTAAGCCTAGAGTCTGGGGTATTATTATACTAGGCAGGACAATCGTCATTCGGGTTCTTAGAAAGACTTTTCTCTCTTTACTGTCTCCTCTGAAACAGAACCTCGCGCATGCCTTTTGGCGTTTGTGATTTCCCATTCAAACTCCTTCAAGGCTCTGAGTTCTGAGTTGAAGAAGAGGAGTGACATGAGACCGTCAACAACACCAGCAACCAGTCCGAGACTGCTCAGGAGCATGAGAACAAAGGCAACAAAGTTGTGTGGGCTGAACCACACAGCTATAAGGCACGCTATCAGGACGGCAAACCATGCCAAAAAGTGTAATCCCCGCCAGCGCCGTTGATTCTCTTCCCGGTGGATGTACTGACGTGTCACAGAGAGAATCTCGTCGTAGACTGGCGCCGGAAGACCTTTGCCTGGCACTTCGGAAATAGGGGGGTTCTCGGACGTGAAGGAGTCGCGGTGGGAGCTGGCTGAGGCGTCCTGGAGGTAGGACGTCTCGTTATCGTTTTCCGCTGCGTCGAGGCCTTGGTGGCGATGGTGTGGTGTCTGGTATGCCAGCGTTGCCTCGACGGCGAAGTGGTCGCTTAGGGAGCAGCCGAGGGTGGGATGCGGCTCGACCATGCCGACTTTGGCGCTGCGGACGACCCAGTCGCCGCTGCCATCGTCGTCACCACCACCACCTCCTCCTCCTCCTCCTCCTCTACCGGAACCGAAGAAGATGTAATCCAGGCGTTTCCCTTTTCTGTCGGGCGTGTCTGGCGGTACGACGATGGGTTCTTTCCCCTCGCCGAGCTTCTTCTGCTGCTCCTTGGACCAGCGCCAGGTGTTGTAGACGTGGTCCGAGGTGGCGCCGTTCTCGACGAGGTTGAAGTCGGCCGAGGGGACGGGTCTACCGCGGGCTTTTTCCAAGGGATCGTCTGCGGCGCCGAGAGACGAGTCTGGGTGGAGGACGCGCCAGACGTCGTGGACGGGTGCGTGGGCTGTGATGATGCGGTGCGGGAGGGATACGGGTCGCATGTTGAAGTCGCCCATGGCGAGGGCGAGGTCGCCGCGCTGGGTGGCGGCGCGGAGGAGTTTGGACATTTCCCAGGACTGGGCGAGGCGGTGGGCGAGGTAGGTGTCGCCCGGTTGGTTTTCGGTGTAGGGCGCGTGTGTGTGGGTGTTGAAGATGCTCAGGACGTGGTCTCTGCCGGGGCCGCCGTCTGCGCCGGCGAGGCGGACGGGGATGCGGGCGCAGGCGATGCCCTTGCCGACGTACCAGTCGCCTCGCCAAAAGGCCGTGGGTCTGCCGTTGAGGGGGTACGCGCGCATGGAGCTCTCGTCGATGGGCCAGCGGGATAGGACGGCGAGGCCGCCGCCAAAGGGGCCCGAGTAGTAGAACTTGCCGTGGGGCAGGACGGCGGCGGTCTCGGCGCGGATGGCGTCGTAGTCGGAGGTGACCCAGCACTCTTGGAGGGCGACGACGTGGGGCGGGTCCGGGAGGGCGGCGATGCGGCGGCCGATTTCTGCGAGGCGTTGCGGGCGGAGCTTGGAGATGTATTTTAGGCCCCAGCAGTTGAGTGTTAGTAGGCGGAGGTCCTTTGGGAGAGGGTCGTCCATATTGTGTTGGTTTATGTTGTTGGCTGTCTTGAGATGACGAGGTGAAGAATCTGGAGATTATGTGTTATAGAGATAGGGGAAGATGTGGCAGAAGAAATAGGAAGACCACTGAGGAGAATGCGGAAAAAGGTAAAGAATAAGATGGCTTGAATCGGGAAGAGATATTGGATCAAGAGAAGCGTCGAACGCGTGTAAGACGACAGCGAGCTGCAACAAGATAGGTCGGCAGTTGTAGGTGATTACGCCGAAGCTTCCGGAGTGGAGTGTGAGAGCAGGATTCAAACTCTACAGTGGTTGTAATGATAGGTAGTTAACTGGGCTGGCGCTATGGCATTTGCAAAAAAATGTGAGAATGAAGTCGCATTACCGTCAAAGGTGAGGTCGGATCGCGGGGCTCTTGCGAGATGGGATGAAAAGGTCACTACAACGGACGCTTGGACTTTTGGTGACGTTGCGTTCGGTTTTCTTTTTTTCCCTTTCTCGACTTCCTGGAGCCGTCCCGTTTGCGTTTGCCGGCAGGCCGGGGGTTGTCAACGGGAGAACGACCCACTCTTACAGATGCTTGGCCGGACGAGGCTCCATACACTCTGCCATTGGCCAATCGGTACGAAAATGGCAGCAGCGAATTCTTATCTTAGTGGTCCCACACACTATCAGGGGGAGAGCTTGACCCCAGAATGACCTGTGCAGTGGGGACGAGGCTGGAAAGCAACCGCTAAACGTCAGTCAAGCAACCCCTGCTTCTTTTCAACGCGCCAAAAGTTGCTGATCATTCTTGCCGTCCGTTCATTCAGCCTTGCCTTTGACTTTCCTGGGCATAAATTGCTATTATTTCCCACCACCCCGCCCGCCATCGAATGAACAGCCTCCTTGACCAACACAAAAGGGAGCTGGTAGCCCGTCTCATATACTCGTGCCTCCATACCCAAACATAACGCGAAAAAATGTCAGACCTCGGCTCCTCAGCAGCAGCGACGCCTCTTCCTGAACCCCCTCCAAAACGTCGCAAAGTCGTCGCACACAGCACATCCGCGACACCGCGATCAAGTTCACCAGATGAGCTCAACGACACGACAGTTACGACCACCACGGCAGCCGCAGCCGCCAAGAAAACCACCGCGACGACAACGAGAACGAAGAAGCAGCGGTCCAGCACATCCCGCCGCCTGTCAACCAACCGTGGCCGTCCTAGCATGACACCTAGCAGGTCTCCTAGCGAGGATGAGCTCAACGAGGCGGCATTCTACTCACGCTCATCGCACTCCAAATCTCGATCACGGTCGCACTCGAGGTCGCGGTCGCGAACGCGCACACCAAGGTCGGCGACCGCCTCACCCTCCCGCTCACATAGCGACGACGACGACGATGACGAGGATGAGTCACGCGCGGGATCAAGGTCACCTGCTTCTACATCGGGCGGCAGTCTCTCAGGCGCCGTCGACCGCAGGCTACGGCTCTCCTCGACCAACGGCGGCGCAGATACCGGCGCGACAGTGACGACGCCCGTGACACCCGGGCCCGTGAAGAAGGGCCCCGTGAGGCCGCGGTACGAGGAGGAAAGGGTGCTGAGCGGACACGCGGGAGCGCCCGTCTCGCAGGTGCGGATATCGCCCGACGGCCGGTGGATCGCGAGCGCCTCGGCCGACGGGACCGTCAAGACGTGGGACGCGGCCACGGGGGAGCACATGGACACCCTGGTGGGCCACATGGCCGGCGTGAACTGCGTGGCGTGGAGCCCCAACAGCGGGAGCCTGGCGACGGGCTCCGACGACAAGTCGATTCGCATCTGGGACCGGGTGACGGGCCGGCCAAAGGTCACGGCAAAGGGCGTGGGTCACATGGCCAAGGACGACGCGGCGCCCGCCGCGCATCCCATGTTGCCGCTGCGGGGACACCACAACTACGTGATGTGTCTCGCCTTCTCGCCCAAGGGAAACATACTCGCCTCGGGATCGTACGACGAGGCCGTCTTTTTGTGGGATGTCAGGGCGGGCCGCTTGATGCGTAGTTTACCGGCGCATAGCGACCCGGTCAGCGGCATCGACTTTTCATGCGACGGCACGTTGGTCGTGAGTTGTTCGACGGACGGTCTCATGTATGTATTACCAAGACTACCCCCGTCTCTACTTGGTTGGGATCCTTTACTAACCCCGAACAACAGTCGTATATGGGACACTTACACAGGCCAGTGCCTCCGCACCCTAGTCCACGAAGACAACCCCGCCGTAACGTCCGTCTGCTTTGCACCCAACGGCCGCTTCGTCCTTGCCTTTAACCTCGACAACAGCATCCGCCTCTGGGACTACGTTGCCGGCTCCGTGAAAAAGACGTACCAAGGCCACGCCAACAACCGCTTCGCCATCGGCGGCTGCTTCGGCATCGTCCCCGGAGAAGGCGCCTTCATTGCCTCGGCCAGCGAGGACGGCGAGATTGTGCTGTGGGACGTCGTCACTAAAGAGGTTGTTCAGCGCATCCCCGCCCACAAGAAGGATTCTTCTTCGCACCGGGGAGGCGGCAAGGGTGGCAACGTGTGTTTCTGGGTCGATGTCCATGGGGACGTCATGGTGTCGGCGGGGCAGGATGGACGGATACGCATCTTTAAGAGGTTGTTGGGTGAAGGGGAGATTGGTGCCGTGGCCGCTGCCGCCGCCGCTATTGCCGGTACGGAAACCGATGGGGCGGAGAAGACGCTGACGAATGGTCACGCGATTGGTGAGGAGGTCGGAGGAGATGAAGTTGCCAATGTAAATGGCACGGAACCGCCGATAAAGCAGGAAGAAGATATCGATATGGTTGGCGTGTGATAGAATACTACACGGAAGGGGGGCCAGATATATGAATGTACATCGAGGGGAGGAGAAAACAGAGTCATCTCGAGAATAGGTGATGGCCTGAATATGATACCAAGACACATGGATAACCGTCCTAAAATTCTCAACAGGCAGACATCGGTGCCGAGCATAAAACTCGAGCGAATCTTTTCTGTGCAGAATGTCATTTTTTCTGCTTATGTTGAAATTCAAACTCTCTTTGCCAACCTGTCGAAACTCCGACGTTTGCCTCCCTGCCACCAGCACCCAAAAGTTGCTATGTGTCTGTAGCGATGAGAAGATAACAAAAGGGTCCAAGATGCATGTCATGTCTATTCTTTACTTCCCGCCCCCAATTCGTAAAGAATATGTGTTCCTGCCCGCCAATTTCCTCCCCCACATTCACTGTCTCTCTTTATGCGTGGCACTCATTTCCTCCGAGAGTTCATCACTTCTGCCCACTCGACGAAACCTCAAATCGTCTCCCATCCACCATTGTTAATCTCCGCCTCGAGCTTACGACTAATATAGCTCGGAATTCCGTGACTGAGGAACGTGGTACGCAGCATTGAGTCGTAGCGTTTCTGGTTCAAGAAAAGCTGGCGGCCGTGGCGTAGACCCAGGTCCGTCTCACCGTACTTATCAATGTAGGGCGCGCTGCTAAAGGACCCCGACAACCTGAACAAGTAAAAGATGCAGCACTTGCGAATGTTGAGGAAGAGGCCGATGTTGCCCTGACACCTAGAGCACGGGGAGGTCAGCACGGGCGTGATTTCACCCACTCATCATGAAGACTTACTTTCGCATGTGTTGCTGCGATCCGCCAATTCTCTGCGGCTCACGGTCACCAGACGCCGTCTCCTCCCTAAGACAGCAGACTGCTTGGCCGCAGAAGACCTCTCCACAGAGCAAGCAAATCATGGGATCCGAGACGTCCTTTCCTGTCGTCGGACACTTACGTCGAGTAGCTTCCTCGATGAGAGCATCGTAGTTCTTCGGCAGACCCACCAGCTCGAAAATGCCAGGGTGACTGATGAGCGCGGACTTCGGGAGCTTACGATCGGCGTCGCCTGGCCACATAATTTGATGTCTGATCCATCCCTTGACTAGACTCGTTGTCGAAGCAGGCCAACCGCAATCGGGACCGTGGTCGGTGATGGCGGCACACATCTCGTCAAAGGTTGGTACTCGAAGTACTTCAGTGAGGCGTTCTAACTCGTCCGCGTCTGGCTGAGGAGAAACGTGGCTGTTGAAGTCTACGCCGTACTTGATGTATAGAAGAATGACGCTCTTCCTAAGGAAAGTCAGGGCGTACTTCTTGACGAACGTGTAGTAGCCCTCGAGGTTGTCTAGTTCCGGTTGTCCGAAGCCCTTGTTCTCGCCAAGATCCGCCGGCATCTCATGATGGGATACGTTGATCTCCATGCCAGTCTTGGTGATTGCGAGACAGAATTCAGCAAAGTTCTTAAGTGCCGGATCTTGCGTTTCCCTGTTGAGAAGATGGTTCACCCAAGTAGACACTGGGATGTTGCGTCCCATATGGTAGACAATCTTGACAATCTCCGCAAGATAACAAAGTCTCAGGATATGGGTGACATCAAAGTTCTGCGCCGGAATGACGCCAAACACACACTCGGTGAGGAAGATGAAGGCGTCCTGGCCAAGTAACGGCGGATAGATGTCGATAGGACGCCTAACGTGTTCCGTCTCCTGCCCAAAATACTGCGAGACGAATAGTTGAACGTGTTGCCGTTCGCTATCCAGGCGGAACTCTTCGTCGATCCAGTTGTCTCCGCCAGCCTTGAGACCACCGACAGCCCGGTACGCAGTGGCCGTCTCAGCCAAGATGCGGAGGTGCGTCAGACTCTGCTCGGGAATCTTCTCCAGCAGTGTCATACCATACTGAGCTTCGGTACCACGCTGCTGGATCTCCGCAGCCGATGTGGAGTACCCGACCAATTTAGCCAGGACATCGCTGTGGCAGAGCTCGTTCTTTTCTCGCAGTTCGATATTGAGCCTGTCGTGGCGAGTCTCAAAGTTATTAGACCGTACAGTATCGCGAAGGCGACGGTAAACTTTGGCCAGCTCGGTCATGAGAGTGGAACCATCACTCTGTACAGATCGGCGATTGGAGACCGGCGTGCTGGCTGCCGGGAATACGGACGTCAGCGGCGTGTTAACGACCACGGAATCCAGGCCCGACTCATCAGCCGACCATGCCTCTTCCAATAGCTGAGGCGCCTTCTCTGCCAGCGAACCCGTGACTTGTCCTGCGGTATAGCTGGCGAATCCTGCCTGAACCTGGTCGGGCGGGCGATTCGCACCAAGGCGGTAGTAGCCGGATCGCATTTGAGCGTCTAGGAAGTCTGCAAAAATGCGCTGGGATTGAAGGGGCCCGGGGAAACATTCTTCTTGTCCCTTCCAAATGATGGGCAAGAATGCGTTTCCTAGAGCCTTGCATAAGGGGCAGACAAACTCCTGTCTTCGAAGGTTCTCAGGATGGTGTCGGGCAATTTGGTGATGGTGTCGTCGGTTTGTCGCATCAAAGTACATTTCAAAGCAGCTGTAGTGCATCATATGGCCGCAGCCAGTTGAGACTGGTCCGGGGCGCGAGAGGTTGGACGGGAAGCCCTTGCCAATTGTCTGGCGTTCGGCAACAAACTTCTCGCCTTGAGCGTTGACCTTTGTGACTTCTTGTCGATTCTCATGAGCAACCCCGAATGGCCGGATGTCTTCTGCAGAGCGATCCAGGCTGGAAGGTGTGTGGAAGGCTTCCCTAACGAAGTCTGGATCTTGTAAATCCGTCTGTCGTAGAATATGACTCTCGTTGAACAGAGCAAACGTTCCGTAAAGACGACGGTCGTCCGTGTCTTCTTGACACAGAATGCAGGTGCCAGTAGGATACTTCCAGTTATTCTTCCGGTCAGTGTTCTGCTCGGCCTCTTCCTCGTCCTCGAGATCCGAGCCCCAGTCAATGTTGCCCTGGTTCTCTAAGAAGCTCTTCTGTTGCTGTTGGAACTGAGCCATAACCTTTGCCTGTCGACTGAGTGCGGCCTTCTTCTTGCGCTCGCGTTCCTCCTCTGCAGAGTTGTTGGCAGGGGATGCAGTATCAATGCGGTCAACCGATACACCCAATCGAACATATGCGTTCTCAAAATTGCGTGGGCGCTTCTGTCGCATCCTCTTCAGGATGAGAGCGATCTTGGGGTGGCACGCCTTGAACTCTTCCTTGGTAGACATCATGTCCAGCAACGCGACGATGGTCTTTGCATTAGGCGCTTCTTGCATGAAGTTGCTTCGAGCTGTGCGTGTCAAGGAGATAAAGACAAATGAGTTGAGTGACTCCTCCGTCATGTCGCTCTCGTCCGCCTTGTCCTCGGAAATCGCAATGAGAATCAGGTGAAGAACAACCTGAAGGAAAGTCTCAGTGCGAGTGGATGGCACGCTTGGCGTGAGTCTGGCGGCGACCAGCGGGTAGAGCAAGGAGTAGTAGATGACCTGGGCAAACATGCCGGTACTAGTGAACGCAGCCAGGTCCTTGAACAGTCCTGAGGGAATAGATCGAAGTTTGGGCTCGTACACAATCTCTTCGACCGGCTTCCCAGTCTTGATGGCCATCTTCTTGCGATAAGCTAGCTCGGACTCCTCACGCTGGTTTTTGTTGTAGTGGGCAATGTAAGGATCAATATGCTCAACGAATTCGGGTCGTAGCTCAAAAGTGCCTACGTCGGAGACACCCTCTGGAGGCTTGAACGAAGCCATTTCATCAAGCACACGGTGGAAATCCTCTTGCTCCTGCCACTTCTCGGGCAGCTTGTTGCTGATTTCGTTGAACGAAAGGGGCTTGAAGCATAGGATATGAGTGAGGTCGCGGCGGATGGCGAGGACATTGGCGTTGGGCTCATCCTCGGAGGCAATCAATGATGTGCGATCACTCAGCAACACAATCAGGAGGTGAATCATGTCTTCAACCACGTCCAAATGCTGCGCATCATCTTGCGCTGCCGACTTTTGCTCAAAAAAGCCCTTGACCCATTTCTCCATGCCGAATCGATCAATGATGGATGCGAGGACGCGGCTTGGATCCGCTGTGACCATGGCAGTCTGAAGCAAGAAGATGTCTCGGTGGTGAGAGACATCTCTTTGGCTGACTCCACGATATGTCGCCGCCTGGTGACGCAGACTAATGCCATTGCGAACCCACATGTTCGCTTTGATCTGCGCCAACCAAGCGCAAACCCGCAAGGGGTAGTCGAATGCAGCCATGAGGTTATCTTCCGGTGAGTTATCCCTTCTTGGCATAACCTTGCGGCCCATGGAGCGGGGAGGAACCCTCAAGTCTTGCGTTGTGAAGCTCAGCAGGGCTCGCATGCTTGAGGCAGGGAGAGACTTTCCGCACTCCACCAACCACGAGAGCGTATAGTGGAGGGCGTGGTGGAAGCTGATGGGGTCCTCCTCGACGGTGAACTTGACCACTTCATATCGTGCCGACTCATTGTCAAACTCGAAATCACCCAGAGTCTTGAACTTGACCTCCTCCTTGATCTCGGCCTGCTTAAATCGATGGCGTTCGGCACCAATAGAGTGAAGAATTACAGCCTTTGCTGTCAATCTGATGGCTTGGGCGACGAAGTGTGCCTCGTTATCCGGCACATTCCTGTACGCGTCGGCAAGTTGTCGAGCAAGTCTGTTGATTTCGCGTGTCACTAGAGAAGCCGTTATCCAGCTATCCGTCTCGTATTCGACATGCTCCCCAATGGCGCGGACATTCGGCCCAATGCCTTGGTGTAGCTTGACGAGATCCAAGAACTGCAAGAGGTATCTCTCCTCGGTGCGTAGCTTCTCCTGGACGTTTGGCGAGCCGAAAAGATACTTCAAGTCTAGATAGAAGTGGTACATACGCCGATTCGTCACTGAACCAGAGTCGAAGGCGAGGACAGCATTGGACGAGACATCCCATGGGTAGCCTACTTGTCTAGTGGTGAGGAAGGTGT